TTTTTTTTTTTTTACATGCCTGCAAATATATAGTGCAAAATATGCAAATGTGTGGCTACAAAACGAAGGTAATGTTATCTCTACATGCAGTTTTGTTGCACCACAATGGAGGAGGTTAGCGTGCAGATAGAGCCAGTTTTGCATATCTGCGTCCAAAGGGCTTAAAAAAAAAGCACATATACACAAAGGAAAGGTAACACGTGCACAAGTCTTGCGCGCCAGTTGTGCACCTCTTAATGTTATCTTTGAAGCCAACACGGGAAAAAGGACAAACGGGAGGTGGCAGCATGTGTGTGGAAAGAAAATGTCTACGTCTACATGAAAATGTTAATGAGCATATATATATTTATTCATGCTTAAATGAACGTTTTCTCCCCATATCCGTGGGCAGTGAACAGAAGAAATTCACTATAGAATGGCTATTCATAAAAAAAAAAAGTAGCCGTTTTGCCTGACCCGTTCATAAAAAAAAAAATAATAAATAAATAAAAAACACCCATTTCGCTTGACCAGTTCATAATTTCCCCCCTTAAGCATGTAGCTACCACCGTTCATACGACATCGGAAATGGATTAATCACAACAGAAAAAGGCCTTTTACTGATCGAGGTAGCGTGTTGGCGCTTTTAAGTATATTCATTCTTATGAGAGCGTCTACGCCAGAACGTATTCGACTATGAATGCTCCATTTTCCACTTCGTTACGCCCTAAAATGGGACAACATGATGTCATACAGATTTTGCAAACAGCCAAATGGTTGTTCTAGCTAAAAAAAAAAAAAAAAAAAAAAAAAAAATACGCAAATATGTGTCAATATGTGTGCACACACATGCGACCAGGTTAATTGCAACGAGGAAAGGCACCACAATTCCATTTTCACGAAAACAGATCATTCTACATTTAAGAGGTGTAAAAAAAATAAAGTGTCCTCCTCTAATTATGCTTCCTCATTTTTAACGAATATTTACTTTCGTGCGAGCGTAATCCTTTTGATTTGCTCCAAAGAAAAAAAAAAACTTAAGAGAGTCGTCTGTGCACGCGCTTTTAATCTTTACGTGGAAGACACGTCTAGGATTCAGCAATTGCGATTTGTTCTGTTATGTTACATTGTGATTTGCTCCTCCCTGACGATTTTTCTGAACACGCTCAACGCTCCTTTTTGTTTTCTCCAAATTGTGCATGGAATGTTTTCGCCTACGCCTCACCCCATTTAGCGTTTTCTCCTTGCGCTTTGAGGTGCCCCGTGGTTGTAAGGGCACATACACACATGGAGCAGACCTTATGCGTACGTCACTTTAGGAGAACAGCCTGTCTCCCACGTGCAACATAGTATGCTCATTTTTTTTTTTTTTTTTTCTGACCCCCTTACCCCTTTTTAAAGATGGCGAAATCGACAGATTTTAAAAACTTATTTTTGCTGAATTCAATTCATTCGCTGATTTTACTGATTTTCATGGAAATTTTTTTTTTCCTTTTGGATGGAATAAACACGTTTGAGTTTATAAGCATCCAGGAGAGAATATCTCAAATGATATGGTGCTCCTTCTTTGTCGTGCAGATTGGAATCTTAAAAGTAGCAGAGGTGTTTTCCAAAAAAGCAAATGGGAAAGAGATTGTCTGTGTGCATTATTTGTTCATTATATACGTTTTTTTGTTTCCTCTTTCATCAGCCCTTTTGCTTACATCCGCTTTGTCTTGGTCCAAGATAGTTTATTTTATTTGTATTTTGAGCCTGTCTACATCTGTTAAAATAAAAGGTCTATTATTTATTTGCACCATTACGTTGATCACTGGGTTCGTGCGCTTTTACAATAGCATGCCAACGTTTCCCATCGCCCTTTGTTTCACTCTGCTTCTGCTTCTAACTATTGTAGTATGTTTCATCGTTCACCTTGAACTGTACACCCTCGCTAGCCAAATAACTTACATTAAGAAGAAGCCGCTGCGTGCTTTGGACACCGTGCAACCCTACTTCCAGGAGCTCGAGAAGAAGGCCATCTTAATAAGGAACAAGTTCATATACTGCCAGCAGAATAATATCAGCGTGGATATACTAGGTTTGACGCTAAGAAAAAAAAAAAAAAAAAAAGCGGCGCCATTGAGTGCCACACGACTGTGTTCCTCCCCTGTGTGTTTTGCGCCATGTGGGTGCACGTCACCACGTAACCGCGTAACACCTTCACCACGTCACCGCTTTTACCCTGCAGGGAACAACCTGTTTGAATATGAGGAGAACGACGGAATTCAAAAGATAAAAACGATAAACCAAAGCAAGATAAGGCTGGACCCGTATGGTGACGACCTGACCAGTGTGCAGTGCGACACTCCCCTCGACGTGAGCGACGTTAACTTCTCCAGCGTGAACAACTTTGGCATCGGGGGAGAGAAGCAGAACCTGAGGGATGACAGTGCTTCTTCGTTCCAAAGGGGGGAATCATTATCGGTGGGGCACAAATTTAGGGATCAGACAAGGGTCGACAAAAGGAAGGGAGGAAGAAGAACAGTGTATCCTTCGGAGGAGTCCCCGCAAGTGAACACCCCAGGGGGACAGCAATATGGTATAGCTCATATTGACAAGCCAAATCGCACAAAAAGTGGAGGCAAAAATGATCGCCGGAGAAGTGACTTACCCCAGGTGAAGCACCTACCCTCGAGAAGGAAACGAAGTGGACTCTCAAACAGGAACCTATCCAATTTGAACAGCTCAAACGCAAGAACATTTGGAGCCAAACTGGACAGGGCACAGCCTTCATATGATGGAGAGACGTACAAAAAGGAGATTGTGCAGAGGCACTTTAGCTTGCTGCAAAGTGGACTAGGAAAATTTAATAGAAGAAAAAACATTATACTCTGTGAAGAGTTGAAAAAAAATATTACGTACATATATTTTGACCGAGATGGGAAGGTGAAGCGATCCCAAATTATTCCCCTGTATGTTTTGGAGAGACACAACTTGAGTAACATCTCGGGTTATTTGAGAAGCGACCATACGTGGTCAGGCAGCGGGAACCATTATAAGATGCTCGCTCTGTTGAAGGAATACCCGGGTATGAAAATGGGAGGCCCCAACCAGGGGCCTCTTCAAATGAATTCGTTGGGGGGATTACGCAACGGGAGGGGCAATGGGGGGGACGCCCACATGGACGCTCGCGACACCCGCAACACCCGCAACAACAGCAGTGTGTTCCTCGTCGAAAGTGACCCAAAGGCTCGCGTGGAAGACAAGCTTCACATTTTCAACTCTGATGTGTTGATAAGAGAGGAGAAGAGGAACGCCTCTAATGATAACCATCGCTCGTTCTGCGCATCGGTGGGAGGGACCAGTAAAAGGGGGAATTCGAGTGAAATGGCGCACCAGGGCCGAAAGAGTGCTAGGTTGTTTTACCTCATCCAATCAGCTAAAGCAGAGGGCGGTGGAGCGACAGGGAACAAGGACCCAAATTTGAAGGCAAAGAAAAAGGGGAACCATGTTGCTCACCCCGACTCTGTTAGCAACAGCGGTGATGGAAGTACGAGCTCTGTGAAGGACAAGTCCCTCTTGCATGTAAATACATCGATCAGAAAAGACAAATATATTATCCATCTGCACGGTTCAAGTGATGATAGCCTATCCAATTCGAACAATGTATTATACATTGATGATGTTGTAGATGGCTCCTCCGGTACAGACATGGAGGAGGAGAGCGGAGATGGCATTGCCAATTGTGGCACATCTTCTGATGAGAGCGTTGATGTGGGGTGGAGGAACAGGCGGAGGGGAAGGGGCAAGGTTGGTGACACGGGGGATGTGGAAAATATGGAAGATATGGAAGACGCGGTTTGTTTTGTTAGCGAGATGGGGGAAAGACGTAGAGATGTTTTTGCCCCCGCTGCGGAACGGCTACACGGTACACACAAAATGGGGAAGAAAAAAAGCAGCTGCTATTACGGGACAAAACTATCACTGAAAAGAAATAATAATAAGAAGACGAAGAAGAAGAAGAAAAAAGAAAGCCACTCGGAGGTAGCGTTGCGAAAGGAATTATTCCTCCAATTTTATGACGTCATTTCTACAGATGGTACGAATGAGCTATACAACGGAGTGCATAAGCAGAGGTGTCGCCATCCCCGTTGCAAAGGGCTTCTCTCTTTTGTGAATGTATTGGGGAATTTTTTCAGGGGGGTAAGGTGGGGAGTTGCAAAGTGGGGGTATGCTCCATCCCGTGCAAGAGGAGGGGGGAAATACTGGGTGAACTATAACGATGCCTTTACCACAGCAGAGTGGAGACAGAACATTCGGGACAGCGAGTTGGAGTACATATTAAAATATAAAAATTTCACCAAGTGGTACAGATATTGGGTGAGCAGTGTCCTGTTCCGCTACTACAAAAGCACCCAGTTTTTTACCCTTCTATTATTGTTGCTAAATGTATGTATTAGTTTTGTACAGATGGTGATGTTCTCATTAGTAATCAGAGCTGATCATGTGGGGGTAAAGTGGGCAAACCTGTTTTACAAGAACAAGACGGTACTCATGAGGAGGACCGAATTTAACTTACACAACACAATGGATGAGTACATTTTTAATCGACTCCTTTGTGTAAGGATACCAATGCAGGTTGTGTTAAATGTGCTACTAATAATACCATCCTTTGTGGTGAAGAATTATCGGCATGTAAAATGGCTGAATGTGTGTTCCATTCTCAACTGCCTCGTAAATATATTCTTCGGGGCAGTGGATATTTCGTACTCACTCAACAATAAGGTGTATAACATGGAGAAGCTTTACCCTGTTTTAAACTACTACAACATATTTGACCTATTTCTGGTTGGGAAGCTGACGATGAGCATTTTTCTAATCCCCTTTATCACAAATTTTAATGACTTGAAGACGAATGCTTTGGTTTGTCTGAGCTGCGTGTGCTACATTGGCACGTTCTACAGCACCTTCAATCCTTTTTCATTTTCCATCAAGCTGATGTACATCACCAATTTTGTGGTTCTCATCGCGACGGCTGCCTCGACTGTGTATTATTCTGGGTATGGCTGCGGCGTAGACGGCCAAAAGGGGGAGACTCCCCACACACACAATGCACAACGCTCTCCCATGCGTCATATACGCACATTACACCACTACACGGAATTGTCACCACGCCGCCCCTTCCCCCCTACCTCAGGCTGATCGCCAAATCACGCAAGATGATCTTCGTCAAGTACGTGCTGCCCTACTTCATATACCTGACCTTCCTGAACACGGACCCGAGCATCCAGATGGAGATAAAGGAAAAGCGGCGGGCAGGGTAGGGCACTCTCCTCCCGTCCCCCTCTGTGTACATCTCCCACTTTTGCACGTCGTTGTGCACTCCATGGGGACCATAAGAAAAAAAAAAAAAAAAAAAAAAAAAAAAACAATCCAGTGAATTGGCGCTAACCGAAACGATTGCGCATGGTAACAATTCTTTTTTTTTTTTCTATTCCTCCCCACGGAGAGCACTTTGATCGAATTGAGAACTTCCCCTCTATATTGTTTATCCTGTTCCCGCCAGTGGTAAATGTGTTATTCGGCTGTACACTGCTCACATGTACGACTTTACCAAACGTGGACTAGCCAAAGGCCTGTAAAAGCCAGCACGATTAGTGTCCCCCATTTGTGCCATCGAACCCTACAAAGAACACCTCCAAACTGTGTGCATTGGATGAGGATTACCAAACGAGAGGTAGTAACTGATCTGAGTTCATTACCCCCAAGTGAAAGCCTCTTTTTTGTGTACATCGCTAATCCTCCTCGGGAGATATAAAAAAAAGCGCGCGTTGTGATTTTACAGGGGTGTGTGTGTGTGTGGTTGTAAAGCAAGTTGGGAAGGGAACTGAAGTGAAGGGAAGAAAACAAGCCAAAAGCCCAGTTTGAGTTCATATCGCCCCCTACCCCTTTGAAGAAAAGCATGAAGAACAGCATGGAGAAAAGGACTAACTTGGGTCTGAGCTGCTGTTCCATATCATCCGTCCCGCTGGACTACGAAGGGAACAAGCGGAAGGTCATTGAGAGTATAAAAAAATGCAAAGAGCTAAAGTGCACAGTTCGAGTTGGTGGTGAATTGGAACTGTGTGGGGTGAGCTGTAGAGACAGCTTCAAAGAGGTTGAGGACATGCATGAGAATTGCTGGTACTGTTTAAGCGAATTGATGAAGGAGAAATGGGGAGATGAATCACTTATGCAGAACATCCTGTGCTTTGTGAGCATGCCAGTGTATTTTAAAAAGAAGCTCTACAACTGCCAAGTGGTTATATACAGAAACAAAATTGTTTTGCTTTCTCCGAAGGAGTACCTAAGGGATGAGGAGAGGAAGTACTTTGCTCCCTGTTCAGCGTTGGGTAAGGGGGTTGCAGATGGTGGAGAGACGACAGGAGCAGCAGAAGGGACCCCTCCTCTTATGGGCCATTCGAGGCACATCCAGTTTAATGACTCCAGTGTGCAGCTTCTCGGTAACTGTCTCCAAACCTACGCACTTCCCAAATGTGTTCAGGAGGTAACCAATCAGACGGAGACCTACATCGGCAAGGCACTAATACAACTGGGCGACGTATTGATTCAGCATGTTTTTTTGAATGACCTGATGCACGTTGAGAGGGGTGTTCTGGTGGATGCTCGAGTGGAGCAATTCAACCGTCACGGGGTAGCGTACATGACGGGTACTGGCAGCAGTACGAATGGTTTCCCTACAGGGGATAGCGTCACTGGGGAGACCCACAATGTTCCTTTTGAGCAGGATCCTGTAAAGGTGAACCTGCGCAAAGGAGATGGCAATGTGTCGCTTAACGAAATCGATGTCCTCTTGGTTAGCGGCTACGTCCCCAACGAGTTGCTGCTCTTTAAAAAGTACTTCATTCAGATGATGAAGTTGACACAATGCTATCCTCATGTAGTCCTAAGTTATAATAGCAACTCCGGGTGTGATAATTATTTTTACAAGTACGATGGGTTTTCTTTCATTAGTCAGAACAACCAAGTGCTGACCAAGAATGCCAGATTTACATTCGATGAGGTACAGGTTGCGTCTGTCAGTGTGTTGTTAAAGAGGGATCCCCACCCAGGGAGGGAAAGCAAAATGAATTTCCCAATCATCAAAGTGGACAAGGATGAAAAAAATGTGCAGAGTAAAACAAGTGCAGATGGGGACCACGACGGGGAGTGCATTTTTTCTTACACCAAAGAAATGGAATTGTGTATAAAATATTCAAAGGAGGTGATTTGGGCGAACCTACCACAGAACTTTAACTGGCAAATGTACACAAAGAATAATGCATTAATGTCCAGCTTGATGAGGAAATATCACCCGAGTCCGGATGGTTGGCAATACCAGTTTTGTAAGCAGAAGTGCTCTCTGCATAATGTATATGAGGAGCTGTGTTTTAATAGTGCCTTATACATGTGGCACATTTTGCACCTGACTCATGCCAAGGGGTTTATGTTGGCCTTGTCCGGGGGAGTCGATTCTGGGTTCTCCGCGTGCATGGTTTACCTTCTCTCAATAATGATCGAGATGTGCATGAAGGAGAGGGGTGCGCATCCGTTTGACGGGTCTGACCCGTTTGCCCGCTTCCTCAGTGAGCAATTTTGCCACAAGCTGAAGCGGCTGCTAATTGACACCCCCTGCCGGAAGGAGATATGCAACAAGTTGCTGAACACGCTGTCGCTTCCCTCGAAGAACAGCAGCGAAAACACCAAGTCCTACTCGGAGCAGCTAACAAGGGCAATAAATTCATACCACACTGTGTACTGCATAGACGATTTATTTGACTTTTTTAAAAGTGCGGGAAGAAATTTAATTAAGGAAGAAATGAAATTTAAAAGCCAAGGAGGAAGCAATTACCAGGATCTGTGTTTACAGAACGTACAGTCTAGGTCGAGGCTTCTAATGACCTACTTCTTCTCCCCACTTATATGTCACAAGAGATATGCCCCCTTGAATTTGCACAACGAATTTCTACTTACCATAGGTACTGGTAATTTGGACGAGACGATAACTGGGTACTACACGAAATATGACTGCTCATCAGGGGACATAAATCTTATTGGCAATGTTAGTAAAATATTAATAAAGGAGACCATGTGTTTGTTAGCAAATGATCCCATGTATAATTTATCTGTGTGCAATTTTATAAATAAATATCACCCCTCTGCTGAGTTAAAGCCATTGGAGAATACACAGACAGATGAGGATGATTTGAATTTGAAGTACCTGGAGATTAAGCTGTTGTCCATATTGAAGAATAATTTTTTTTTGGGTCCGTCTTCCATGATGCACTACTTGGCAAGGTACTTTTGGTCCGAGGGGTCGATGAGTGCAGGTGAAATGCTCGATAAGGTGAAGACTTTCTTCTCGCGAAGTGTACAGAATACACACAAGGTACTTATCCTCCCGCCTGCACTCATGGGGGAAGCCTGTGGGTTGCACCTCTCCTCGTTGGTGAACTTCGCGCGGGTCAATGTGGATGCGTTGAAGCGGGTAGCGGGGTGAGAGGCGGGACGTGGCTGAGCGGTGGGAAGTGGCTGCGCGATGGGACGCGTTCGCTGCGTGGCGAACTGCTTTACCGCCCTTCCACCTCATAGGAAGTCACGCTCGAACAGTGCGACCTGGTTCCGAATGATGTCCTCCAAGTTGTCCTCCCGTTTGTCGACCGCCTCATTCAGGTAAGTCTCAAATATGAATTGATCTTCGTCACTCAAATTTTGCGTATCATCCAAGTTGATGGAGGTGTTTAGAATTTTCTGGTTGATTGTTCGCTGCTCTCGTGCGTCGGCAGTTGTGCTGTCCGTTACGTCCTTCTCTGCACCGTTCGTCGTGCTGCCCACAGCATGCACCACACTGCTGACCTTCCTGCGCGGTGCCAACTTCGCACCTTTTGCCGCGACTCCCCCTTGGCCTTTCACTTTACCCCTCAACACTGTCCTTGTTTCATTAAACGTATTTTTTCCCTTGCGTGTACTATTATGGGCCGCCTGACGACTCGCATTTGTAGTGTCCACTCCGGAGTGAACTTTCATCTTGAAGGTGCCTTGCTTACACCCCTTGGATGTACTTGAAATTGATTCTGCGTTGGGGGTACTTTTGCACTGCTTTGCGTCTGTACGCAGTCTTGTGGGGGCCCCCTTTTTGGCAGCACGGGTGGCAGAGTCTGGCCTCTTCAGCTTCTCCCCGCCGTGTATATGGTTGGAGGTCACATTAGCGGAGATTACATCCCCGGTGGGCCTGCCCACCTGATGAGCCTCCCAACCGCGCGGACTGCTTCCCTGGGGAGCAATTGCCGCCTCGTCGCCAAGGCCACCCCCATTGCGCAAGTCACTCCCGGTCAGGTCCAACCTGGAGAAGCTTTCACGCAAATTCGAATTGCCTGTGGCAAAATTATGAACAAAATGGCAATTTAAAACGTTGTTACTGTAATCTGGGTGGTCACTTATGTTTGTCTCAAGTGGGGCATCTAGATGTGGATAACCGCTGGCTTGCAGATCTCCCCGCAGATGGTCCTCCTCCTTATGGAGCGCCATTTCCATTTGAGGATCGCTCAGAGGGGCTGACATGGACGTATCATGCTCTTCGTGGTGGTGACCTAGGTATATGTAATTATTATATGCACTGTGGCTTGATTTGGGCTCTTCATAATGTTCCTCTTGTTCTTCATTTGTGTAGGCTACCTGTTGTCTTCGCCACGGCTGCGCATCTGCATACACGCGCTCGTTGTCGCTAAAGAGGAGCTCCATCAGTGGGTTGTCTCCATTCCCCTCGATTGAACATTTTTGTCTCGTTCCTTCCATCATCTGATGCGCTCCACGAGGTGATACCTTCTCTCGTCGTGACGACGCTTCCTCCACGTCCCCTTCACAACTGAACGTCCTCACCGACTGCACCATCTTTTTAATACAGTTGAATGTTTCTAGTGTGACTCTTTTGAGCCTTAGTATGTCTTGGTCCATCTGAGGGTTGCACCTTCTTAGTGTTTGTATTTGTTCTGTGTAATCGGAGTCCCACAAGTGATCGACCTGGGCAGTACTCGCGCAGGAGACACCACTGGAGGGGGAGCTGTCAGAGGGGGACCTGTTAGAGTGAGACGTGTTGGAGTGGGACCTGTTGGAGTGCGCTGCGTTAAAACCCTCCTCAGCGAACAACTTAATTCCTAACTCGGGGTAAAATTTTTTTTCTCTGAATTCCTGCCTGGCCACAGGGGCGCTAAGGTCCTCCTCCAGGGGGTCCGTCCTGATGTTAAGCCTGTCCATAATGGGTGAAAGCACTTCATTCCTTTTCTTCAACTCTTGTGCAAAATATTCCATGGTACTCTCTCCTGTTGTGGATGCTGACCTGTCGGTCGAGATTGTCATGCGACCCCTGTCACTGCGGTTGTCATGTGAGTAAAAATGGTCCAAGGCTCTTCTGTTCGTTTTTGCCCACGAGGAGGGGGACTCCGTTACGTGGTTAGCATAGCATTTGTCCCTCCGCTTGTGTGTACCTTTCTGTGCGGCCATTTTCCCTTTACGCCTCATAGCAGGAGAGGAGACAACGCCAAGCTCTCGCTCCCGCTCCCATTCACACTCACTGGAGAGTACACTTAGCAGACTGCTACCCTCGCCGCTACTACCAAAGTAAGCTCGTCCACGACAGGTTGGGTTCTGTTCAAATTGACTCGATCTATGTGGCTCATTTAAGGCACTCCATTTGTCCACATGCGTACGTTTGTACATTCGTTTAGGTACACCAATGTGATACTTGTGGTTAGGGGGGTGTCTACCTTTCTGTTGCATCACTCTCCTGTTGTGCTGCTTGCCCCCTTCATTGTGTTGCCCACCTGACGAGAAACCATCATTGTGGATTAGGTCTGACAAGGGGTACTTTCCTTCACTGCTGTTCATGCAGGAAGGGCCTGTGTCGCTATGGGGGCTACACAGATGGTCGTTATTCACATCGGACAAACTATGTCCTCCCCTTTCCTTCATCCTTTTATCCCTTTTATCCATTTCATCATTAATGGTTTGTTTTTTTAATTTTGAGTGATCCTTTTTGTTACTCCGTTTGTGAGAGGCGCATCGTTGTGTTGCTTCCCCACGTGAGTCACACTCGTTAGGTGTCTTTTCTTCGTTGAACTTTGTGTCCATCCCGTTGGGGGTTGCATCGGTCGCCGCAGTCGTGGCAGTAGTAGTAGCTGCCGTGGCGGGAGCGGACTTACGCGCCGAGGGCTCGTTGTTCTTCCCGGTCCTCATGCGTTGAAGCCTTTGCTGATACTCGACTTTCACTTTGTCTAAGTTTTTGGACTTCAAGCTGTTTCTCTTCTGCTCCAGTTCTTCATTTGTGAGTTTATATTTGTCCAAGTCGTTCTGGTAACTATTCCACTCGTTGGTGTGTTTGGCCTGGCTAGCTATTTTGGTATTTTTCCCTTTGGCATCATTTTTTTTTTTTTTTTTTATGAACATGTTCATACTTTTTTTTTTCCTTCTCACCAAAGGCATTCGTGGCTTGTTGAGATTTTTGTTTAACATTTGGCTATTCCATTGTATTACCTTTTTTTTAATCGACATTTTGGGTGGGTCTTTTTTGTTCTCCTCGACTTGGTCGTGTTGGTTTTGTCGTTGGAGTGTATTGTCCTCCTCCGCACTTGGTCCGCTTCGCTCATTCGGCCCGCTTCGTTCACTCGGTGCGCTGTCCCTCTCCTGGTTTTGTTTTTTTTTTACTTTTTTTGCATTTTTTATGGCTTTTTCAAAAAAGTCTTCCACCAGGGAGTCATAGCTACTCGCGTCATCGTTCGCGTTTTTTTTCATTTGAGTAAGAGTGCCATCAGGACAACTATCTGCCTCCTCACCGTTAAGCAAAATGGGATCCTCCAATTGGAAATTTTTTGGGTAACTAAATAGTGGGTCTTCCTCCATTCGGTTGGCCGTTCGGCGCAAGGAGTTTCCCCTCGATGGGTTACCTGCCCTTCTAACTTTGTAACCTCTTACCGTCCCAGCAGTCACGTCGCTGTGTTGGCTTTCGTCGGACGGCGTCATTGTCATGGCACTTTTTGGAGGAGTGGGCCTGTGCGTGGGGAGGAGCGAGGTGCAAAGAGCAAAGTGGAACCTACATGTGTACGCTCGTGCGTGTGTATTTTCCGCGTCATGTTTCCAAACTTGCGCGGAGAAAAGTCGCCAAGCGAATTTATGACCGTTTCATGAGATTGGGGAGAAAGCAGGTAAAAAGTTTTCAAAAAATTACAAAAAAAAAAAAGGGGGAGTTTTTTTTTTTTGGCCTCCCCATATGAGCCTGTTTTGGAAGAACAAAGGTGAAAGATGTGCACGCACAAAAAAAAAAAAAAAAAAAAAAAAAAAAAAGAGT